CCTTACTTTCCTCATCTTTGAAATGGGAGTTATGTAATAGTAACTACTTCAAAAGGTTTCTGAAAAGGTAACTAATATCAAAAACAAAACTTGTAAAGGGCCTTGAAATGGCTGATTGGTACACAGCCCATTTAATACATCTTTAATAACTAAAATCCAGATATAAATCTCTGATACCATAAAGACTTTTTTTAAAAAAGAATATTAGTTTTATGAAAGTCATCTGTCCTGGCAACTATAGAGTACAACTTAAAAAAAAAAAAAAAATTTCTAGACTTGTTTTAAAACATTACATTGGGGAACATAAAACTAGTTTCTCCTTTATGCCATACAGCATGCCTCTGCATAACAAAACACTGAAGAATTCTGATGCAGGCCTCAACCAAAAATACTTTGACTATAAATAAAATACATTATGTTATTCCAATTAATTAATTTCAACTACTGTAACTCATAAATGTGAACTCACAAGAAAATTTAAGAGAATTCAATAATACTATCAATAATTAGTAACACTCCCAAAAGATATTTCTCAACTCTGAGCCGTTTCATTTGTAAATGAAGATTGGATTAAATTATCTCTCAAAATCTCTTTTCAGCTCCATAATTCTGTGTGAGTCATTAGGCACTTCCCTTAATTCACTGAAGCAAGTTTCACAAATACACATTAAATGCTATATTTGTACCCTTGAGTAACTGAATTTTTATTTATTTATTTTTTTTTTTTTTGAGACGGAGTTTCACTCTTGTTACCCAGGCTGGAGTGCAATGGCGCCATCTCGGCTCACCGCAACCTCCGCCTCCTGGGTTCAGGCAATTCTCCTGCCTCAGCCTCCTGAGTAGCTGGGATTACAGGCACGCGCCACCATGCCCAGCTAATTTTTTGTATTTTAGTAGAGACGGGGTTTCACCATGTTGACCAGGATGGTCTTGATCTCTTGACCTCGTGATCCACCCGCCTTGGCCTCCCAAAGTGCTGGGATTACAGGCGTGAGCCACCGCGCCCGGCGAGTAACTGAATTTTTAAAATGCTTATAGCAGAAGAAAAGCACACTAGATTTAATTAAAATAATCTCTATAACTAAGTAAATACTTGAGTCCTATCATAGACCAATACTAAAAACATGGTTTACATGTTTACAGTAGATTAAGCCAACCCTAAACTGCAAGGTCTTTTGCACCCTAATTCTCTTTCTAGGACTTTTAACCTCCTCCTGCTCATTATAAACTCTCCTTTACACTAAATACTGAAAAATATAGACACCCTTCCCAAGAGTATTGCATTTTCACAAACGGCAAGATGTCTTAAAGCAAGGACAAAATGTTTAAAAATAAAATGTTTACGTAGTGTCCTTGGATGGGGAAAAAAGGTGGAATGCTGAGTATCCGAACAGTTGAGTATTTCTTTCAGGTATGTTTAGGACTGGGGAGAAGAGCAGAAGGAAGGCTAAAAGAACACATCTGGCCACGGCGGGCGGATCCTCAGTTGAGATCAGCCTGTGGCCAACATGGTAAAACCCCATCTCTACTAAAAATACAAAAATTAGCCGGGCCTCGTGGCGGGTACCTATAATTCCAGTTACTCAGGAGGCTGAGGCAGGAGAACAACTTGAACCCAGGAGAGAAAGGTTTCACTGAGCCAAGATCACGCCATTGTACTCTAGCCTGGACGACAGAGCAAGACTGTCTCAACAACAAAAAAAAAAAAACAAACATCTGGCTATACAAAGTCAAGCTATTCATTTCCTGGTTGCAAGGAGTATGTAAGAGTGACATGAATTTAAATCACAGTTGGAAAAGAATTTTGAAAATTCTGAAACAAAATTATTAAAATTCTGCAAAATCAGCCTTTAGAAAAACTACACAATTTTTTTTGCTCTAGTATTAATCAATTATGTAAGTTATGTTGTTTTCTGATACAAAGGCCCATATAAAGTTATAAAACCAGAACACAAAGTAGTATTAGTCACCATACTATTTTCAAGAACTAAATTTAAAACAATCCAATAACATCACCTTATCTCACTTTTATCTAGTAATTCATAAGTGTGTTTGGTAAGCTACAGCACACATTTTTGAAGTGCTATTATTACTTAATTGCTTCTTTATACTCCTGCCTATTACTGATTAGGTTGTATCATTAAAAAGGCTACAAGTTCTAATAGAATTACAAGGGAGCATTCAAATGCTTTTTTATTATAGTGGAATTTTGTTTCAGAAAACACATGTTGCTACATTTTAACCATTCCAAACTTCTGCTCCTAGTCCAATCCTTTAGCTGTTTCCACAAGCTGTGAGAGGAGGAGCATGCTGGACAAGGGAAATTTAGCTAGTGCTAAACTCTCCTCCTGATTAAGAATTTTGCCTCTATAAAAACTGAATGAGATAGGTGGAGATGGACTGTCAGCATAGTGATCAGTCATCACAAGCTGATCAGTTACTGCAATGCTCAAGAAACTAGATCACATTATCCACAATTTTTTAAAGAAGGAATAGTTATATTCAGTCTTTCCGTTTTCTCCGAATGCTCTCATATTATTAGCTCAAGTAACAAATTATAATGATTCCCAAATACCCACCTTCATTCCCAAAGATCCTGTATTTTTAATTTCCTCTAGAATGTTTCCAATTATAAATAATCATTCCAAATTCAACAACAAATTCCAGTTTTACTCAGTTTCTTAAAGCTAACTCCCTAATTGTCCCAATCACTCAGGCTTACAATCTTGAAATATTCATTGATGTCTATTTACTGTCTATCCACTGGAATCAACTACAAAGTCCTAGCTATACCTCCTTCAATCTCTCAAATCAGCAAAAACATTTTGACTGTGCAGAGAACTGTGTGTGGCAGGCAGGCCAAGGTGTGCAGGAGATAAGAAAATATGCATAACACACTGTATTCAGAACTTAAACTCAGAAAAAGAGAAAGCCAACTGATTATTATGATTAAAACATATTGTGCTGGGTACTATGCTGAACCATTCTCGTGCATTATCAAAAAACAAAACAAAACAAAAGGCTGCAGCACATGGTGGCTCACACCTGTAATCTCAACACTTTGAGAAGCCAAAGCAAGAGGATACTTGGGCCTAGAAGTCTGAGACCAGCCTGGGCAACACAGTGAGACCCCATCTCCACAAAAAAAAATTTTTTAAGTTGCCACACATGGTGGCATGTGCCTGTAGTCCCAGCTACTCAGGAGACTGAGGCAGGAAGACAGCTTAAACCCAAAAGTTTGAGGATGCAGTGAGCCACGATCTTGCCACTGAACTCCAATTTGGGCAACAGAGACCCAGTCTCAAAAACAAACAAAAAAACCTACTATAAGGTAAATACTATCATCTCCAAATTACAGATGGGAAGAAATAAGACCTACAGCAGTTCACGTGTATAAAAGTCATATAGCTATTAAGTGATAGAGCTTGAACTCAAAAACAGATGACTACAAAGCCCTTGCTATCCACAAATAAAATAACACAGAATATAACTTGCAGAAAAAAAAAGTAAAAAGAAAAAAAAAAAAAAAATCTTGTCCTAACTTATCTCTTCTGCTCCATCTCCACTGGCAATACCAGGTTTCAGAATTTCTGCAAAGTTGGCCCTTAAGTGGGCTGCTGAAGAATCATCTAGGAAGCCTACCTAAATGAATATTCATAGTCCAACCCTTGAGATTCTGAGTCACTGGGTATGGGGTGTTTCTGATGCACAGTTTTTTTTAAAAACCATACTCCTAATTCTTGTTCATTCATTCATACAACAAAGATTTGAATTCCTACTATGCACCAAGCCATGTCAAAGGTTCATCTTTAACAGAAGGAAGATCTAGTGTAGAGGCTCTGCCACACTTACTGCTACAATATCTTGGGTAAGTAGCTTAGCCTCTCTTAAGTCTAAATTTTCTAGCCTATAAAACAAAGATAATACTTCTCAGTTTGTTATGAAAAGTTAATGAGATAATACAAAGCATTAAGCACAGGGCCTGACATACAACTCTTGATAAATGCTAGCTATTATTATTTCCTGAGAAACTCAACCTAAATAGTAATTTTTTTCTAGAGATTAAATTTAAGCAAAGTAACAAGAAAATAGTCCAGGCATTCACACATCCAGGAGGGGGAAAACGTAAACCAAGTAAGAAAGATTACACAGAAGGATTTCTCTAAGTGAATCAAATTCATAAGGCTGAGATTTTTTTTTGTAAGATGACTTTAAATAGGAATAGAGTTAACTTTACTAACAAAAATAAAGCAACACATACAGTTCTGAAAAGGCAGTCTCCTAGGAGAGTCCCTAAAGTGTTAAAAGAAAGAACACAGGACTTAAATACAGAAGAACTCAGGTCCAAATAGCAGATGGAACCACCTCCTAGCTAGATGGCATCAAAAAAAGTAATTTAAATTCTCTAATCCTGTTTTTTCACTTATAAAATTAGGTTAAAAAATAGCTGTCATAGAAAGCATGGCCAGTAGGTCCTCCACAAGTGACCTTTCCCTTCTGTGCCTAAAATTCTGAACTGTTTCTTATAATAAAACTGGAAAGTTCATTCACTGCAATACGGTATTTGTAATCCAAAGTCACTATTTCAACACAAAATTGGCAGGTAGGAAATGAGAGAGAGTTTTTCGCTAAGTCTAAGAAAGAATCTGACTTCTCACCAGGGGCATGTCTGTTGTACTTACTTCAAACAGCATGCAAACATGACTCATCAAGGAATAAGAATTTCTTTGAGTGCTTTTTGGTTAACAAGATATTGTGAACGTTTCTGCCTTTGGAGATGGCTAAAGAAATAGCCATCTGCAATTATTAGGCCAGGCACAGTGGCTCACACCTGTAATTCCAGCACTTTGGGAGGCCAAGACAGGCAGATGAGCTGAAGTCAGGAGTTCAACACTAGCCTGGCCAACATGATGAAACTCCGACTCTACTAAAATTACAAAAATTAGCTGGGTGTGGTGGCGGGCGCCTGTAATCCAACTACTTGAGAGGCTAAGGCAGGAAAATCGCTTGAACCCAGGAGGCGGAGGATGCAGTGAGCCAAGATACCCTCATGGCATTCCAGCCTGGGAGACAAGAAACTCAGTCTCAAAAAAAAGAAAGAAAGAAAGAAAAAGCATTATTATTAAACAATATGTACAGAATTCATGGAAGAAACATGAACTTTCCACATATATCTACCCAGATTTTCCTCACATCTCTCAAACAAGATCATTCTTATCTGCACTAATTGCTACAATGTGGCCACAATACAAATATGCTCCTCTTTCACTGACTCCTACAAAATATTTATGCTTACATTTTAAGATTGCTAAGAAGTTGAAGTCAATTAGCAAAACTCCTTAATTCACTCCAGACATGAATACATCCAAGACTTTGACATAAGGCTGTATTAGCCTCTGCTATCGTAGTAAATGGAAATAATTTACTAACATAGTATTTACCAGGGGAAAAAAAGGCATAAAGGGGAAAAAATTCACAGTGCAGCTCTGTAACGAAGCTACGATATGACAAAAGTATGTAAGGAGTCCCCCATTTGCCTTGAATGATAAGAGAAGCTTCAGTAAAAACAGGCATTAAAAAAAAAAAAAAATTAAAAAGAAATTCCCCTCCCCCACCCAAAAAAAAACACCTTAGGATGATCATACAAGTGTTACAATTAAAAAAAAAAAGTTTGTGAATGCCTTTAAAAAAAAATGCTTTCCTCACCACTAATACCAGGTTTGAGTTCTGCTAGTTTTTAAGCAATCAATGGGAAGCCATGTGCTCAAATTGTATTTTACAATGCTTTCCAATACAGACCAAGAAAGTGTGTAGGTAAGGGTATCAATGTGAATGAAGGAAGTATTCCTTTTCAAATTCTTTTCAAAATAAGTATTCTCTTTTATGACCTGAATCTACGCGATTCATATGCTGAGTTTTGCTGGACAATCCCTAACAGTTTTGGGATTAAGTTTCAAGTCTCCTAACCCTTAACAGCCTTCTTATCTAAGACAATCAAGTTTTACAGATGGCCATTTTTTTTATCAGTCACCTTTTCCCTAATTTATATAATGAATGAAATGAACAACCTAATTCAGGTTATAATTTTTTACTTAAACTAAGTGGGTAATTGTAATTTAGAGACCTAAGGGCTGAATGCATTCTCTAAAGCATAAAGAAATAGACAAATTATAGGTGCACAATTTGCATTCGGGGACCACAGAATTTTGAAATGTAAAAATTCCCTATTAAGGCCATACTTAGAGATGCCTATCTCAGGGCCCCAACCTCAAGGACTTATCCATGTGTTAATAAAGTTGAAGGTGTAACTTTCCTGGAAGAACCATTGGCAACTCGAGAGCCCAAAAAGCCTTTTGAGGACCAAAATAACTGAAACTCTAAAGGGGGAATTTCAGGTAATGACAAATTGTAAAAGAGAGTGAGCTGGCAAAGGGACTCCTAATCAGTTCCAATAAAATCATGAACGCAGTTAACAACCTCTCCTTGTTGGGGAAACCAGTGTAATAATGTCAAAATATACTACTGTAAAAATCAAAATTTTAAAACAGAAATATCCTAGATTAAATTGAACCCCTCTCCCTGGTCCTACTGGTCATTCAGCATGTTTTAAATTCAAGGTTGCCCTTTAGGAAAGGAGGTCACTTAAGGACAGTTAACCTCAAAGAGATATCTAGTATACTAATTCAAAACTATTTCAAAAGGGAAAAGGTGGAAAGAATAAAAGTAACATACTACTTGAGATGTTACCATGTTCTTTCTTAGGGCAGCAATTATTTACACTGTTTTTATGACAATTCAGTAATTTCTAAAACATTAATTATGTAGCTGTATTGTCACTTCAACAAAACATATTTGAAAAGTCCTACTGACTCAGGCCAAATCTAATTTTAAAACTGAACCTAGACATAAAACTACTCACCAATTAAGCGAAGAAGGGGGAAAGAAAAAAAAAAATTATTGGTTCACAGAAATGAGACTGGATTAAGAAGAAACTAATGAAGTGTTCATCGAAAAAATACATAGATGTTTCAAGGCTAATCTAGGCTAGTGTTTTCCTGGGGAGATATTGAGTTGGTTGTTTCACCTGACTGGGATTTTAGAAACTGCCACACTAGCTAGTTATGAGAATGAAGATTAAAGAAATTTTACATGGAATAAAGAGTGAAAGACATACAATCTTTTAAGGAACAATAATGAAAATTATTAATAATTATGATTAACAATAATTTTTTTTTAAAGCCTTGCAGTCCACCTCTCACTGCCTTCCCCCTCAAAAATAAAATTGGAAGTGTTTGGGAATTAGAGCAATGTAATCACAGACAAAAGAAAACACTTTCCTATATGTCATCGTGAAGCAGTGATTCTACATTAAAATAAAAGAAGCCTATTCTCTATGTAGTTATACAAAGTGTGGTACAACTCTCTAAAATGTCTATTAATACAAAATGAATGACCACTTTAAAGCCATTCTATATTTTAGCAAACAACCCTACAGATCTAAGGGTAACTATTTGCAACTTAAACACATTCCTATATACCTCTATACCTTCCTTCCTCCTTCCTTCAAGATACCATCACGGAAGGAACGTATGCAACTTAAATTAGTTTATTTTCCTTCCTTTCTCCCCGCTCCATGAAACACAAGTACATTTTTTTAAGTTACATAAATGGATACCAAGCACCGTTAATTCAGTCTCCTTAAAACCTGCTTAATTTTAAAAGTTCTAATAAGATGTGTTCAGGTTGGAAACGAAAAACTACCTTATAAGGGTATAAAAGACTGAAAGCAGGAAGCGGCTTTGACAAAACTAAGGAAGTTGCAGCGCGCTTGCTCACTGGGGGACTTTTTGAGGCTACAGAAGTAACACATGACATTTTTCTCTCTCGAATTAAAATGTGACTTGGTTCACCGGTTACAATGCAGAGGGGGATGGAAATGACCGGGAGTCGAAAAGAGAAGGTGGGTGGTCAAATGAAAGCCCCGCTGTAGGTTCCCATTTTCAGAGTCCGATTCTTCCCTTTCCCCACCCACACCCTGGGCAGAGTGTTGTCACTGCGATCTTGCAAAACCTACCAGGAGCGCTTCTCTTTTCTAGCTCCTCTGCCAGGCCAGTCCCCGAGCACGGCCTCTGGGTCCCCAAACCCACGGGGAAAAGGGGCGCGGAGGGAAAGGCAAGCCGGATGGGTCGGGCCCGGGGACCACCCCCAAAGCGACCGTCCCCAGCACTCTTTGGGCGGCACAGCCCACCGCAGTGGGGGAAGGGCCAGGAGGGGTCGCCGAGGAAGCCGCTGAGGGTTGGAGGTTGAATCTCGGACCCGCGCCCCCGCCCCAGTCCTAGGAGGGGGAAACTAGGGGACCGGCGAGGCCCTGGCTCCGAGCCCCACCCCTTGCTAGCCGCCGGGACTAGGACTGACAGCCGGCGGCGGCGCCTTGCCGCACCATTCATTTCCCGGTCTCCTCCCTCCCCCGCCATTTTCCTTCCTCCGCCTCAGTTTCCCCACCCCCGCCCGTCAGCCCCCTTACCCCGTGCCACAGTCCACTACACAGGCCGGCAGCCGTCCCGCCATCTTCCTCCTCGCCTGCTGCTGCTGCTGCCGCCGTCTGCTCCGTGCTGCTAGGGGCCAGAGATTGGCGGCGGGAGACAGGGGCTATCTGACCATCCACAGCCGGGCCGCCCTCACCGTCCGGGGGGTAGCCGGGAAGCCGAAGCAGTAGCAAGAAAGCAGCAGGCTCGGTCAGCGGCTATCACTTCCGCAACCCAGGCAGGCAGGCAGTCCCCGCCCTGCCCCGCCGCGGCCTCCTCCCCCTCTCTCTTCCCTCCTCCTCACTCCTGCCCCCACCCTACAACTTCTTCCCCTCACGCCGCCTTTCCCCGGGAAGCCAAGATGGCCACCGGTGCCGACGCCCCGGCCAGGCCAGGCTGAGGCCCCGAGCGCTCCCCCTTCCGCTCCGAGCGGGAGGGGCCAGCGAGCATGCGCAATAAGGTGCGTTCGCCTGCCGGGGCTCCGATCCCGAAGTTAGTGAAATCCATTGCGAGTTTTCCAGGAGGACAGAGGCGGAGAAGTCTAGCCGAGCTCCTGGTTCTGCTTCTGAAGCTGGCTTTTCGGTTGCAGCCCTTGGGTTGGTTTCAGCTGCTTCTTTGCTAGGTTGGTGAAAGAGTCGAAGCGCCTCCTGCAGCCACGAATATCCTCCAGTTCCTGGGAGAAAGCAGCCTAATCGAAAACGTCCGCGGCATGCATCCATTCTAAAAAGTTGAGTGGCTGCTTTTCTGGGTGGAAAAGAGCGGTATCAGGGTGAGCAGTCGGGGAACGAATGAACAAAGACTTGTCACCGTGGCCCTTAGGCCTTTGTTGCGAGTTTTCTTCAGTTGTACTTGTACGTTGTTACAGGACTTTAGAATGTAGCCCTGCTCCCCAGCCCCCACCTCCCAGGGCTGACCTGGGTCCCTAAGGAAGGCAAACCTCCCAGGAATATATTCTACATGGTATACGCTATCCAAATAGGCCTTTATTCAAGGTTTTTAGATTATGACAAAGATTTCCCTCAGGAGTAGTAAGAGTCTGCTAAGCAGTATAATAGAAAAAATTAAGGGCACTCCCTCCCATCCCCCCAAAAAAAGTTTTAAGTTAAAAACGGAGGCCGGCCACAGTGGGTCATGCATGTAATTTCAATGCTTTAGAAGGCCAAGGTGGAAGAATAGGAGAGCTTGAGGCTAGGAGTTCGAGACCAGCCTGGGCAACATAGGGAGGACCACCCCCCCACACCATCCCTCCAAAAAAAAAAAAAAAAAAAAAGAAAGAAAACTGGAAAGCCTTAAAGAAACCTTTCAAACTTTAGTGTGTATCAGAATCACCTCAAAGGTTTGTTAAAACAGATTGATGGGCCACACCCCCAGAATTCTCTGCTGAGAATTTGCATTTCTACTAAGAAGTTCCTAGTTCCACTTTAGGAACCTAGAAGGTTAATATCATTCCTCTCCACCAGGGTTTTCTTATGATAAACCATTCTGAGTTTGCTAATGTGAAGCCAAAATAAAAATATTTCTTAAAAGCAAGGATGTCTTATTCAGTCCATATAATAATATAGTGTGGTATTAAGCTGGCCTGGGGGATGGAATTGGGTGTTTCATTTATTCATTTGACAGGGTAGTACTGCTTACCTACTCTATCATGGCAGGGACTGTGCTGACTGAATATTCCCTGGGATGGAAAATAGTTAAGGTCTTTTGTAGAGTTTACAGATTAGCAGGAAACGGACAAATTGTGTTAAGAGCAATAGAAAGAAGAGAACTGAGGACTCTGAGAAATGAGGGCGAGGAGTGGGAGAATGGAAGGGAGGTGGAAGGCAGGGAAGGAGTCTGACCAGCTGGTATGTAAAACCTGAGATGGGGGTAAGAGTCTCCCAGGAGAGGAAACAGCAAGTGTCAAGGACCTGAGGTAGGAACAAGCTTGGCTTCTTCCAAAAACTGAAAGAAGATCCATATGGTCAAAATGAAAGAGTCAGGGAAGATGCAATAGGAGATGAAGCCTGAGAGGTAAGGAAGAGTCAAACAGTACAAGAATTTGTAGACTGCTCTAAGCATTTTAAAGTTTGATCTTAAAAGCAGCTTGATAAAGTAGATTTATGGTAATTAGTTCTAAAAAAAAAATAAAGCAACTTGAAAGGATTTAGGCAAGAAAATGTTGTGGCTGCTTTTTAGAAAATGGCTCCAGCAGAGTCCAGATTGAATCATGCATTGTGTGATATGATGTGTTCCAGAGTTCAGGGATAGAAGCATGTGAGGGCCAGCTTCCAGATGAGATCAGGTATGTGCAGAGGAGACTCACTAAAGGGCATCATCATCAGTTAGTGTCCAGCATGTCTACAGCTATTCACAAAAGAAGTCTTTTCTTAGAGGTTGTTTCCAAAGAAGTCAAACAAGTGGTTCTCTGAGATGCATTGTTGTTCATTTCTCTGCTATATTTTAGAAGATGCTAGATGGGGTTTCTTTGCTGTCGCTTCTACTACTTGCATCCTTTGAGGAAGCATATGCTTGAGGATTGGCTCTGACAGAAAAGACAGATGTGGCTGAGTAGGGGTAGAATCAATGGTTGTTTCCAGCCGTTGCAAGTAGTAAGTCAGGGTTGAAGAGATCCTACCAAAGAAGTCCCAAGAGCAGAGGTTAGTGCCCTAGATCACTTGGACAGGCCATGCCACTGGCGCTTAAGATGGCTGCCCACACTCTTGCGCAGTTGTCACGGAAGTAGTTAAGCAGGGTTGGACACTGGTGCTTCGAGGTCTAGGTAGGTACTGTTATGAATGAAGGGGACCATGAGGAGGTTATGGCAATGCAAGAAGCCCACAACTCAACAGAAGGCAGCAGACAACTGTTGCTGTGTCGAAATACAGGCCTGGTACTTTTTTTTTTTCCCCAAGAGAAATCTGAAATCTGCATTTTTATCTTTGGTAACTGTTGCGGTTTGAATGTGTTCCCCAAAGTTCATGAATTAGAAATATAATCTCCAATGCAACAGTGTTGCAAGGTGGGTGTTTTATGAGGTGGTTAGGTCACGAGGAGGCTGTCTTCATGAATGGATCACAGGACTGGGTTTCTGATAAAAAGGAGTTTGCCCCTCTTCCCTCTCTCTTGCCCATGTGATGCCTTCCATCATGTTTTGACACAGCAAGGACACCTTCACCAGATATTGGCCCTTTGATCTTGACTTCTCAGTCTCTAAAACTATGAAAAATATTCTGTTCTTTTTTTTTTTTTTTTGACACAGAGTTTTCCTCTGTTGCCCAGGCTAGAGTGCAGTAGCACAATCTCAACTCACTGCAACCTCCGCCTCCTGGGTTCAAGCGATTCTTCTGCCCCAGCCTCCCCGGTAGCTGGAATTATAGTCATGCGCCATCACACCCAGCTAAGTTTTGTATTTTTAGTAGAGATAGGGTTTCCCCATATTGCCCAGGCTGGTCTTGAACTTCTGACCTCCTGATCCACCTGCCTCAGCCTCCCAAAGTGCTGGGATTACAGGCGTGAGCCACCACGCCTGGCCAATTTCTGTTCTTTGTAAATTACCCAGTCTCTGGTATTCTGTAAGCAGCGCAAACCAGAGTAAGACAGTAATTTTTTTCTGCATGTCATATCTGACCTGTGGCCTGCCAGTTTGCATCTTTCAATTTCAGAAGCTAAATGTGGTTCAGTAGTTTGTTGCCTTCAACTATGAAGCTCATGTCAGCGCTTAGTACCATCTCTCATTTCATAGGCATGAGGAAACTGTCACAGTCTCACATAGACAAGACTGTCCTGTATTTGTAAAGGCAGTAACTGTTAGAAGCATTTGGAAGCTTTCAACGCTTTGTGCTTATTCCTTATAATCTATCTACCCAAACACTTTGCTTGCTTAAGATCTCTTCTATTTCCTGTTTGCTGCATGCAAGATTGGCCAGCCTCTCTGCCACTGTGGTGGCCCAGCCTTCCTCAGCTGCACATAGCCGTCAGATACACATCCGGCCAAAGCATTTCTGACCACCCTGTTTGCATATGCACCCCCTCCCTGCTTACTCATTTCAAAACACAGAAGCAAAGGATGTCAGAGACATTTCATATTCCATTTCATATTTCTCCCTAATAGCACCTCAATTTCCTTTAGTTCAGGTCAGCGAGGTGCTTGGTTCTCACCCATTTCCAAACCTGTTCCCAACCTTTCAAGCATTTGTGAGTCTTGCAGTATCCTTCTCCTTTGGCTCAAGTTAGCCATAGCAAGCTCCCATTACTTGCATCAAATTTAAGAAGCCTAAGCCCATAGAGTTTAAGTGATTTTTCCCCGATACAATATCTTAAAGAAACTAAGAAACAGAGTCCAAAATGTTCTTATGCCTTTTGGGGGCTCTTTAATTGTAACGACAAATTAGCAAATGTCTTTGGATCTTAAAAAGTGTCGAGGAAATTCATGTCACTCAATTTCCATTAATTTAAG